CCACTAAGCACACGTGGCTTTTGAACACTTAAAACCTGTCTACTGTAAGGGCACAGGGTAAATTTTTATTTAACTTCAATGAAATTGAAGCAGCTACAGGTGGCTGGTGGCTACCATCTTGGAAATCATGGGCTTAGGTATTTGATTTCCACAGTCTCAGTTTCCTCATCTGCTTCCCATGTAAAACAGGAGCTCCCAGAGGCTGAGAGTCCTGTAAAGAAGGGACAGGTGGACCTGTAAAGTACTGGGACTATCATGAGAGATGGAGCTCATTTTCAGTAAGCAGTGGTGCTACGACCTAAGTGTGGGGGTGCTTATGAGACAGAGTAGGAAGATGACAACAAGAAAGGGGGAAAAATACCAAGGGGGCAGATTTCAACTGTCATGCCACATCAAGAGGTGCTGGGAGTCACACTGCAGCTGGCAAAACGATGAAAAGAATTTAGGTGAGTCATATATTTCCAGCAATTTGTCACCGCCATCTGTTTCTCATCAGCAAAACCTTAAAATGCAAAGAGGGTTGTTTACTGGAATTAGGGGTGTGTAAGGGAGGAGGATCCAAGAAGAATCCTCTCTGCAGCTAGACTGAGGAGGTGACCCTGGCCGAATTCAGCAGGTAAAAGAGTGCATGTACCAAAAAGGATGTTCAGGTGGAGTCTTTCCTCTATGTTAGTGGCGGATGGATCGCTGAGAACGGACTTTGGGAAGAGGAGCAATGGGTAGCTGCTGAGGACAGACAGATGGACAGACAGCTGTGCATGCATACTCATCCCCACCTGGGGCTTTTGTGACTGTACTCGCCAGGAGGGGCTGTTTCCATGGGGACCCAAAACTTCTGAGCAGATGGATGCTCCATTCTTAATAGGCAGTGAGAGGCTGGGTGTGGAGCTAGAGCAGAATCCTTCAATGTTAAAGCAAGGGACTTGGGGCATCATGAAGGAAGTTTAGCATTGTCTTCACTCATACTTTCATCCTTTGGAAGTTGGCTCCCAAGAGGCCCCCTGACACTCTTGGTCGAGCCTGGGCACATCCATGAGACAGTTGGTTGGGTTGGTAACATTCTGTCAGGAGCAGTAGCCCTTGGCATGAACCCCCAAGCCACCTCTGTATGAGCCTGGCATCTCTTGGCTCCTTCAATCTCAAGGTTACCTTGGCATCCACAGATGTCCTGTAAGGACCTGTTCAAAGCGAGATCTTTAAGCAGCTTTAAGCTGCTCAGTCTTGGAGTGCAGGAGAGGTCTAGTCTGCACAAACTTAGGAGAAATTCTCCTTCCACCTCTATACAGGCAAGGGCTAGAAGTGAGGCGTCTCCTATCCTGGATAGCTCCATGCTGCCTGGAGCCACGGGAAGTGACATGAGCTCAAATGGTCTGCTAAAGGAGCACCTGATCTCCCAGGAGGCGCACTACCATGCACTGTGGTGATGACCTAAGAACCCTCCTACAGATACAGGCATGGGGAGTCCTTTCTTGCTAGACGACTCCTGAAAGATGGTGTCACAGACTTCACTAGTTTCCTGAGCTCTCAAGCCAAGCTCCCCGTTGTCCTGGAGCCTCCTCTCTCCTCTGTGATCCTAGACGCTCTCATAGTCTTCCCTGTAGCCTCCATGCCTTCCTCATGGTTATACCACCGCTCAGGCTGTGTGCCCACGTACTTTGTGAAGAGGTTCAGTTCCCAGTTCCCTATGCAAATTCTGCTTGGGTATAGAACCTACCTATATAATTCCATTACTCAGAAGGTGGAAACTAGGGATCCCTGGAGCAAGCTAGCTGGTCAGAATGGCTGCACAAGCAAGCTCTGGGTTCAGTTGAGAGACTCCCTCAGAAAATAATCAGAATGATAGAGGTTCAATATGAACCTTGGGCCACCACACACATGGATTCACATGCCCTGACATACGCCCACATACAAGTGAGCATGCATATACATACTCACACTAAACACACATATACATGAGAAGAATAAAAGAATCATTGTACCTGATGCTAATAGTACTTGCAGCAAGTTAGGTGTGATGGCACAGGCCTTTGATCCATGCCTTGGGAGATGGAGGCAGGATTGTGAGTTAGGGCCATCCTGGGCCATATTAAAGAGACCTTATCTCTACAAATGGGGACACAGCTATAACAACCAATTGCTTGATTCCAGAGTCTGTACTATTTTTTTTTTTTTTTTGCCTCTGCCAAACGAGACAAAGCCAAACATGCCTTTTGTAAAATGTGTTCACAGATTATGCCTAGCATCTTATCCCCTTCCAATATTGGGAGCCAAACTGCAAATAGCCCCCGCCCAGAGAATCTTAGCATAGTGTCAAATTCATGTCGCTGTTGTGCTGTGTCCTGTGCATGATGAATAAGGTAAACACCTCAAGCCTAGGGCTAAGGGAAACGTGATCTTCTAGGTCCGTCTCCTTCCTTTTCTTGAATACAGATAAGTTTCTTTGCTCCGGCTGCCAGGAAGCTCAGAGAGAACTCTTAGGACCTGTGTCGGCCATTTCTGCTGACCTGTTTCTTCCACTTTGTTACTTAGACTTTTATCATCCAGATTTTTTTTTCACTTCATTTCTTTCTTCTCGGTGTCAGAGTGATCTTACTTGTAAGATGCCCCAAAGCCTTTCTTGAAGAATACAAGGGTTCAAACATTGTCATTTAAACAGGATATCTTAACTTGCAAACTTCTCTTCATTTAGACTGGACCTGCCCACTGCTACCTCCTCTTTCTCTAGCCATACCCCAAAATTAGTATCTCACTAGAAATGTATGCCTTGCAGACTCTAGTCCTAGAATTTGTATCTTGGGATTCCAGCTGTGCGCTGCCTCAGGTACCTGACACAGAGCTATTTCCTCCAAGAATAAACTCAGGAGATGGAACTGCATAACTGCTTCTCCCTTCACTAAAGGGAGGATCCTCAAATTCTTCCTCAGGTACTTTCCAACCAGCCAGAAAGAGATCATTTTGAGTTTTAGCTTCTGAAGGTTTGTTTCTAAAACACTAGACATTTGAGATAGACTGGCAATGCCTTCTCAATGCTCAGTCTTCTCTTCAAGACTGGGCTATCTTCCCAGGTAGTAGCAAATGATAATCTGAACATCCAATAGTGAGTCCCCTCCCTTCTGGCAGGTCACCTCAATTTTCCTTCAAGAAATGACCCTTTATCGACTTGAGGCAGCCTACAAATTGCTGGTGAAGGTCCTGACCTTTCAGAGAAGTCACCAGCCTCGCCAGATGCCCTCTCCCTGGACAATGGCTGTGCACCATTTGGTGTCCTAGGGACTTGGCATGCTTCCTAAAGACAGGGATACCTAGAGATGTTGCCCGCTGCCCCCTGCTGCCCAGGCCCTCAATGCTGCACTGCTCTGAGTCCTTTGCTTTGTTCTTCAGTATCTAATTTGTTTCTCAGACATGAATGGACTGTTCATCAAGTCCTTTTTTGCTTCATATAGTCAGGTTGAATTCTGTTGCTTATAACCCAAAGATATACATACATACATTTTTTTTTCAGGAGCAATTGCACTAAATTATGTATAAGGTCTCCAAGGTGATTTGAATAGGAATGGCCCCATAGGCTCATATATTTGAATGCTTGGTCATTAGGGAGTAACACTACTTGAGAAGGAATAGGAGATGTGGCCTTGTTGGAGTAGATGTGGACTTGGAAGAAATATATTGCTTGGGCGAGCTTTGGGATTTCAAATGCTCAAGCCAGGTCCAGCATTTCATTCTCCTTGCCAATACAGATGTAGAACTCTCAGCTACCTCTCCAGCACCACATCTACTTGCTTCCCACCATGAAAATAATGGACTAAACCTCTGAACTGTAAGCAAGTTTGTAATTAAATGTTTTCCTTTATAAGAGTTGTCTTGATCATATTGTGTCTCTGCAGTAATAGAACATTGACTAAGTCTCTTTTGCTTTCTGAGACTCCATGATTCTGGTAATATCACAAAACATAAAATATAGGGCATGCACATTAAGATTTGGGAGAAGAAAAAAAAGGAACTCAAAAGCTATGGAAAGAAGAAATTTAAAGTATTGAGGTAGACAAACTTATTTTCAAATAAATGTTCATTCTGTCCTCTCAATTTCAGTGAGAAAAATAGGTTCTTCTGGCTATTCATGTTGACCATGGCCATGGGGTGTGCTCTGTATTGACCTATGTTTTTGCCAGCAGACTATGTTATCATATTGTCCAGTTTTGTTTAATTTTTTCTGAGTTCATTTTGTTTAGTTTTCTTTTGAAATAAGGTGTTACCCTGAAGCCCAGATTCACCTGGTACTCACTCTGTATCCTAGGCTGGCCTCAAACTCGCAGCAATCCTCCCTCCCTGGTCTCTCAAGTTTTAGAATTCTAGACATAAGCTAGTATGCCCAGCACAAGTCAGTTCTAGCCCAGGCCTCAGCAGTCCTCCATTCTCTCTTCCCCTCTTTAAGAATTTTCTACCCCTGTCATGTATCTGGAGAAGACTGAGAATGGTATGGAGCCAGTCTGAATCCAGCTTCCAGCATGGAGCTAGGCTCAACCTAGAAAGGCTCAACCTAGAAAGCCTAGTGCTATGAAAGTGTCCCCCAAAGGCTCATGAGCTAAAGCTTTGCCATGAGCCTGTTGCTACTGGGATAGGGCCCACTGGGAAGAAGTTATTTCTCTGGGAGCATGTTCTTGAAGGGGATACTGGTTTTCCAACATCTTCTTGTTTGTTTGTTTCCTGGATGCCATGACATAAACAACTTCCTCCATCACTCGTTCTTGCCCCAAACAACAGGGCTAGTAAACCATGAGCTGAAGCTTCCAAAACCATGAGCCACAATAAACCTTTCTTCTTAAGTGAATTTATTTCAGGTATCAGTTAGGCTGCCTGCCTGGACAATGTATAGATGCACCACAAAGGAAGCAGTGCCTGCAGTGAGACTCTCATCATTTCTTTTGTGATGCAGCATTCTGCGAATAGCTCACAGATAGAGATCTCCTCTGCAGCCTGGGCAGAAGTGAGGGGATGCCTACCTGCCACTCTGACCTGTGTAGAGGTACAAGCTTTGCAGGGGAGCACCCGGAACTCTTCTGCCTGATACATTGAGTAGTCAGTGCTGGCGACGACCAGGGTGTCTCCAGGCTTCCACGACTGCACATTGTCCACCAGACTCAGGATGGTACTGTTTACATTGGTATCGATGCTGACTGTGAGCTTGGGCCTCACTGTAATCCAAAACAGGAAAGACTGAGATACAGCCCTTTGCCTTCAGAAAACATGTGGCTGCCCACCTCTTCCCCTCTCTCTCTGGAAATCGGTAAATGCCAGGTATGTCTTTCCAAAACCCAAATCACCAGACTCTCTCTCATCCCAGTCTCGGTACTTACAGGTTTTTGAAGTCAACAAAAACCCAACCAAAAAAAAGACCCATTCATTAGCTCTGGGCAGAGGAATTTTCCACTGACTTCTAAGCTGGTGCTCAATGTGCTGCCTCACCACACCCACTTTGCCCAAGATGTAAAACAAATATAGTCCCTCTCCACTGTTATTTACAGTAGCCGTAAGTCCCACCCCCTACTCCGTTCCTAATGACTGCCTCCTGGAGATGCTGATTCCAGAACAAACCAACCATTTCCAGTCCTCTCTAAGGAGGGCTGCCTGAGGAACTAGGTTTGAAATAACAGCACTGGAAGAGGCAGAGAGTTTGTGTCAGCCCCGTCCATCAGCACACACCATTCTTGGATGATGCTCACTCCTTCTAGAGAGACTTATGACAGGGCAGAGTATTGCTGTCTGCTTCCAACTCCAGGGATCATCTGGCTGCTCCTGCATTTGTGCCTAGACTGCTCAGTGGGGTGATTATGACACTCTGATACTCAATACAGCTGACCCAGCCACCCCATTTCACAGTGCATAGCAGCCAGGTCAGGAATCAGAGCTTGGTGCATTTCTAACCTGATAAGGAGACAGGATCTGCTTGCTTACCAGGTTTCCCACATAGGAATCGTACTCGGTAGCTGCGGCAGGCTCGGCCCCGGCTGTAGCAAGCAAACCTGTAATCTTGGCCATTTTTGTAGACAACCTCAGTGCTAAGGGTGACTCCATCCATTGTTGTGGCCTGAGAATGGAATGGAAATTACAGAGCAAGCACACTTTTTTTTTTTTTTTTTTTTTATGAAGAGGGAGAGTACTGATTAATGCCCACAACTTACAATTTACAAGTCTAAAATTGTCCCCACCATAAAACTATTTACAACAGCCAGGCCTATTATCCCAATTGTCTTTGTGAGTTTCATTAAAAGAAAGACAGTGTTAAGTCTCGGAATGGAGGTGTTGTGGTCTGATTTCTGGGAGAGAGTCAGCTAGGTTTGTGATCTAGCAGGAGGAACACGTTGCCTGTGTCCTATTCATTGTCCATCACTGTGTGCACATTTACAGAACATTCATCACACACAGGCTCTCTTAGAACACTGAAGTGTCCTTTCTTAATAGCATCCTACCACCATGAGTCTATGAGAGGAACTGGCATTTATTTACTGAGGGGTCACGCTGTTCAACCTACAGGTGTGCAAATGGACTTCTGCATCCTCTCTGCCAAGGCTATACCCTCAAAGGCTGTGATTTGGTGGGTTTAGGCTGTGGCCTGGGCATCAGGACTTTCAAAGCTACCCAGGTGATTCTAACAGGTAGGGAGGTTTGGGATCAACTCTTTCAGTTAAAGACCTAAATGCTTGGATGTATCCTAATAGTGAAACTATGACATGGTAGTGGTTAGAGTTTAAAAAAAAAAGTCAATCAGGATGAGTTTCTTACCAAGCACCAAGAGGCCAGTAAGTAGCCCAGTCAAATTTAGAGCCCAAATTCATTTAGCTTCAAATCTCCCATTCTAGTTTTCAGATGTGCCCAGCCTAATGGTCCTTGTTCAAATGTCCTGGTCCCAATTTCTATTACCCATTTGCCCCATTGCATCCTTGAAAGTGAGGTTACAGCTGACTAGGGATGCCAGGCAAGAAGCTACAAGGGGGCAGGACAGAATTTAGAAACAGGCTCAAAGGAGGGTGGTTCCTGCCAGCTCATCCCAAAGCCAGGGTGTGCCCCTCAAAGACGAGGACTGTCATTCAAAGACGTGCAATTTAGAAAAGCACTGTGGCCATCCTTGGCACAGAAACCATGGACACAGGCATGCAGAAGAGAGAAGAGAGAGAGAGACCAACAAGAGAGTCAGAGAGAGACATAGACATACACAGAGAGACAGAGAGAGACTGTGTGTGTATGTGCATGCGCGCACACTAGACTGTTTAGGAAAGATTATTTAGACCTAACAGAACCAGCTTTGTCTTTGGCCTGAAAGGAGATCCCCCAGACATGCATGCTAAAATTCAATCAAAATCCAGCTCTTTCCAAGTCACACTCACAGCCATGATTTCCATGGTCTCTGTTACAGCTCACACCAGGCTGTAAACTTGTTCCTTTGGGAACCCACTAAGACCCAAGGGAGTCACCACCAAGTTTAAGGTCATAGACTCTCAAGTCCTGATTCTCTGAGCCAGCTCCATCTTCAGTGGGAGCCCTGTCATCCTGACAGCAGGTCCTTGGCTCATTTCCCGTTAGAGCTGGATATTTGTCACAGGAAAATATCCAGTAATGATTTCAAGGGAACTGCTTAATTACAATGCTTTCTCTTTTAATGACCTCCGTGTTGGATAAGAAGAGTAAAAAGAGATCTATCACTGCTCAATGGCAGGAATCTTTAAAGAAACATTATTATTAGCCAAGCTTGGAGATAATGAAATGCCTAATAATATTGTCATGATTAACAGTAAATTAAATTAATTTTGAGCCGGGCAGGGTGGCCATTGTCTTTAATCCCAGCACTCAGGAAGCAGAGAAAGGTGGATCTCTGTGCCAGCCTGGGCTATGTAGTAAATTCCAGGCTAGCCAGGCATGGTGATGGTCTCAAACCTCTCCCCCAAGAGTGTTTTCAATAAGATATGCAGAGGACACTCAGACACCCATGTATTGAGCCAGTAAGTCCATGAAACCAAATCGTGAGGGAATATTTATGACTTCCATTTTTGCACTGAGCCAGAAAGTAAAAAAAAAAAAAAAAAAACAAAAACCTGATGGATGTCTCTGCAAGAATATGGACACAGAACTACAGCAGAGGGTTTAAAAGACCTTCACCCTGAGGGAAGAACAAGGACAGAGTCCACCCTGAGGATCCATGCCACCCAGAACCATGTACTCTGAGCGCTTCGCTGCAGATAGCCCAGAGCTCTCAGCTAATGCCGCTACCTCAGACCTCTCTGGCCTCCAGAAGCATTCTCCTGGTCCCCAGCTCCGTGCCAGCTGGTGACAATGGTGATCCTGTTGCTGCTTCTTACTCCCCCACTGCCTTCTCCAGTCCTCTGAAGGTCATAGATGTCCATCCTACCCTGTCCCAGAGGACCTGACTATGTCCATGTGGGACAGGTGTCCCAGTCCTGGGGGTGGTGCAGCCATGAAGAGGACTTAGTGAGTGCCCTGAACCCCAAGGAAGTGAGAGGTGATGGGCAGCTACGGGGGCAAAGATGGGCATACATGCGGCTCTTTTATTCCAGTGTGGACGTCATCCCCCTTTCGGGTAGAATAAACTCTAAGTGGCGAGCCTGTGGAGACTCCACAAATGCTGGCTTTTATTGACCTCAGTAGGGAGCAGAGCTGAGCGAATGCTCTTCCTCTGGGCTGCTGGGAGTGGGCTGCACTTCAGACCCTATCTGCCCTCTGTGCTCGAGGGCCCAAAGGCCATCAGCACAGAAGTGAGCTTGGTGGGCCAAGCAGGATGCTGCAGCTGGAGTTCTCTAAGCCATGGTTGAAGAAGCAGGGTAACAGCAGGGATAAGGGACTTAGAGGCAGAGCGGGAATCTTGGGCAGATAAGGAACCTTCACTTCTGTCTCTCAGGTGGAGATTAGTACAATCTGGTTAGCCTGCTTCAGAGGAGGGGGTCATACCACCCCAGTGGTAAGAAAAGCTCTGACAAAGCCTTCTTCAAAGCAAAGCCTTGCAGACTCCCTAGCTGTTGTGAGGTTGGTACCTGTATGTCAATGGGTCGATTGCAGATTTTTCCTGGGTAAGCTGCTCGGAGGTCTGAAATTTTCTCCCCGCCTTTGCTCTGAGGCACATTATCATGATCAAACCAGTCTGTCCATTCCACATCTAGTCAGAAAGCAGAGACAGGGTCAGACAAGAAACCACTTTTTTTTTTTTTTTTTTTTTTTTTTTGGCCAGGCTAGTCTCAAACTCACAGAGATCCATCTGCCTCTGCTTCCCTGAGTGGTAGGGGGAAACCACTCAGTGACGGTTTTCTTTTATAAAGGCAATATACATTTCTTGTTGTTACAAAAGAAATAAGCAAGATGGAGAGAGAGAGAGAAACCCATCTGTAAACCTGCCCTCAAGGCTCATCACTACCATGGCTGCTTTCGGCAAGCCTGAGATGCCTGCTTGAAGGCCAGCTTCCAGCCCAGCTTCTGCCAGTGTTTCCTGGCCAGCACCATGACCTGGCGTATTAAAAAACTAAATGTCCCAAGTCTATGCAGAGGTGCAGTACAAATCTTAACCACTGTGAGAGACTGCTGACATTCACCAATGTGGCTTGATGAATTAAAGACAGTTTCAGCTGCAGTTTCTTAGCTGATGCCTAGTAGTGTCCATACTGGTATAAGAAAGCCTTGCGATTCCTGGCCTGTGCCACTGCTCTTAGGTTTTAGCAGCTTGTCTCAAACACCTCACCTTGAACCCATTCACTGGATGAAGAAACATTGAAATGTTCACCGTGCTCTGTCTGGAACAGTTTGAAAACCCGGGCAGCAGCTGAGCCTTTGTGACCTATGAGAAAGACCAGATGTGTGAGGAATCAGACAGACCCCAACTCCATACTGCTGCTGATCTTACAGCAGGAAATCCTTATACCCTTGAATCTTTGTTTTGTTTTAGTGTCTTGTTTTGGGATTAGATCTCAACTAGCCCAGGCTAACCTCAAATTATGTAGCCAAAGATAACCTTGAATTTATCCTCTTGCCTCCACCTCCCAATTGCAGGGATTTCCTCTGTGTGCTACCAAGTCCAGTTCATAGTAGATTTTTTTTTTTTAAAAAAACTCATGGATCTTGAACCATTTCATTAAGGATTATTTTCCTTCTTGCTGGATTATTCTTGTCTTTTAGAAAGAGGTTATATCCATATTTTTTTAATGTGTTTCAGTTTTGAAAGTTCAGCTGCAGCCTCACAAGTGAAGAGTTTGGAGAACCTGTTATTTCTCATGACCTGAGTTCTGCTCTGAGGTTAGAACGGGCAGCACTCTCCCCAAACACCTCGGGCAGAGAGGCTGCACAGTATGGGAAAGGCCCACTACAGGGCTGTGGACATAGTTCAGATAGAGTGCTTACCCAGCATGCATAGAGCCCTAGGCTTATCCCAGCACTACAAAAACTAGTCATGAGGATGCACACTTGTAGTCTCAACACCCAGGAGGTGGAGGCAGGAGGATCAGAAGTTCCAGGTCATCCTCTGTTATATATTGATTTAGAGGCCAGCCTGGGCTACTGAGACGCTGCTTTAAAAAACAAACAAAATAAAACAAACAAACAAAAAAAAACCCAAAACTCTTCCTATGGTTTCTAGCCCATACATTCCTTTGGAAGCCACCTCTCAGCTTTTCTTTGTCAGTTTAAGACTTCTTTGGAGAGGTTAAAATCCTAGGGAGAGATCTACTTTCCTCCAGCCTGGACCTTTTTGTCATTGTTTCATAATGTAATGAGTGAAATGGCCAGATTCTTAGCTGGGGCCTTGCAGATGGGCAGCTATGTTCTGAGAGCAGTCAATCACTCACTGAACTCCACAGCCCTGGTCAGGGAGACAATGGAGGGGACCTGGCCTCTCACCAACCATTCATTACCATGGTATTCTATGTGGTCTTCAACTGAAGAGGAAGGATTTCCTTTCACGGTGATGAAGCTCCAAGGGTGTCTAAAAAACAAAAACAGAAAGTCAGGTTTTTTGCATGTTGGAGCCTGCACTCGGTTGGGCTCACAGAGTGAAGACACACTCCCATGGCTGAGTCTTTCTAGCTGCTGGAGGAATTTGCCATCCACCCATGGGCTTCCTTTCCCCATCAAATAAGAACCTTTCTTTGCAGGCACCAGGCTGCCTGCTTCCTCACCAGCCAGCTAGCCTGAGCGTCTGTTCCCTGGAGACAGTTTGACTCAATGCTGGCAAAGAACAGGTATGAATCACAATTAAATAAACACGCCAACAACCCAACCGTGCCACCTGCCAAGCCCAATTAGATCCTGCAGCAAATATCAGAACGGTTCCAGCCGAAGTGATTCCACTCATGCCCATTGCCTGCAAGAGGAGTACACAAGGAAAATAGTACAGGATGCTGTCTGTGACCAGCCACTTAGCCACCTGCCTTAGATCTTAGAAAGGAATGAAGTATGTTAGTCTGGTGATGGGGAGGGACGGAGAGAAATGTTTATGACCTGGAAAGTTGTATACCTCTTTCCTTTCAGAGTACGCAGCTCACAGGCAGGATTTTTTTTTTTTTTTTTTAGTGGTTTTTGTCTTCCCTAGTGTGCTACATGCAGGGGCAAGTGCCCTACCCTCAGTACACCACCATGGTGTATTGAGCATTCTATACTGAAGGGAACTGAGAGACGGCAGAAATGACTTTCTCACCTTTCTCCCAGAAGTGGGTCAGAAGACCTCACCTCCATGAGAGACATGCCCTCTCTATAGCTAAATAACGAGGGACTCTGAGAAGAATCCCAAGTCTGTTCACCACAATCAACCTATTAGAGAAAGACTTGTAAGATTATTTTCATTGTTCTCTACACGTCATGAAACTTAGCACAAAAATATTCAGATTTGACTGTTTGGATTCTTTATGGTTTCTTTTTTCTTTTTCTTTCTTTCTTTCTTTCTTTCTTTCTTTCTTTCTTTCTTTCTTTCTTTCTTTCTTTCTTTCTTTTTTTTTTTTTGTAGGAAGGCCCTGTGTCATAAAACCCAGCATGATGACATCTGTGAGCCTTTCTTATGAGAACTAGGCTCTTGTTGAAGAGTCTCCCATCCCCCCAAAACACAGCAAGTACCTCTCTATGATAAAGCCAAAGATCTTGGTGTGAGTAGCTTCTGTTTTTTTCTTGGACTTCTTATGTTGGGGGGTCATTACTAAATGATGGTCAGCTTAGGTTAAAGATTCAGCTGTCACCCTCTTACTTAAATATTTCAATGACTCCCCATTGCCCTTGAGCAAAATCGAAGCTCATCAGCAGAGCCATTGGTCCTCCAGTGCCAACCTTGCATCCTTGTGTCTCATGCCCTCATCTCACATACGTCACTGCTTAGTCTTCCCCAAATCCTCATGAGAACCACACACCCACTCTCTAGAGCCACTGGTGTCACAGCGCTGGCTTGGCCTCCTCACACCTATGATTCTGCCCTCAGCTCCCCTTGCCCACTGTCTTGCTCTCTCTCTCTCTCTCTCTCTCTCTCTCTCTCTCTCTCTCATGAGTCTTACTCATCTCCTCATCTCCTTCTGCTCATGCAAGCTCAACAGGCCGAGCTGATTGAATCCCACTAACACCTCCTCACTATTTCCTGAACTAGCAAATGAGGGGTCCCACCTGCAGTACATCTACTGATTGTAGATGCCCAAGTCTTATCACTCAAACATACCAAGGAAGGCTGATTATGTAACTCCTGCTTGCTATGGCCAGAACGGAACTTGGAGGTTCCCATTGTTCCAATGGCTCTCTTACAAGGAGAGAACAGTCACTAACTGTGCCAGGCAGAGTGACAACTATGTTACTCTCATATTATCCTGTGGAACCTCTCCCATTACTCTTTTGAGATAGATCCTAAGATACCCTATTTTACAGATGCAAGAATTAAGCAAGAAGGGTGAGTCACTTGTCCATGGTCATACCTCAGAGGCAGTACAGCCAGGCATCAGAAGCCAGGCATCAGAAGCCAGGCCTCGGGCTCTGAGCCACCACAAACTTCTGCCGAGGCCCTTCAGCAACCGGTCCCTTAATAGTCCCCTCTCTTATCGTAAATTAATAAACTGTCTTTTTGGTTTATAATTCGGTAAGATCAAAGTATGCTTGGCATTTGCTGACAAAGGAGCCATGCCATACCAAGATATTGTCATATTTGGATGCTTGAGCTTCCTGCTCTAGTTTCCTATCTAGAAGCAGCAGCCAGAGAACTCAGTCTGGGATCTGAGATGTCCCTTCTTGTCCAGAGAACCTCTGTCCAGCCAGTTAAATTTGCAGGTGCCAGTTTGTGGTGGTGCATGCCTGTAATCCCAGCACTCAGGAGGCAGGCAGATCTCTGAGTTTGAGGCCAGCCTGGGCTTCAGAGTGAGTTCAGGATGGCCAGGGTTACACAGAGAAACCCTGTCTCAAAAAAACAAAGAAACAAAATCCAAACAAATTATGTCGCAGGCTAGAAAAGGCTCTAACCATCTCTTGCTTGCCCAGATCTGAGGAGCTGAATAACGGGTATCAGAATCTCAAACAGCCATGGGACAGATCGTCTTAACTTTTTTCAAGCTCAGAGCTGGTTTACAGGATCAGAAGATGTGTTGCTGTGTGCCAAATTACTTCCTGCAGTTGTCAGTGTGTGCACATGTCAACATCAGGCATGATGCTACAATGCAAAGCAAGTAGGATACACACTAGAACTTGTCAAAAGACTCCCTTGCATTGGGGAATAGCTGGGTGGATAAATTTGCATGGTAATTTGCATAATCCCTAAAACGCTGCCTGCCAACCCCCAAGGCACAATGTGAACCTTGGAGGAGTAAACAAACCTTAGCTCTCCATCAGGGCTCTCACTGCCTTGCTCACTCCTGGCACATTCAGTGCTTGTAAGTGACTGTCTGAGGAAGTGAGCCCGTATGGAAACCTGCACATTGCAGTAGTGGGCTTTTCCTATAAGAAAGCCTGGGCTTCTTTTGAACACAAGCCCTGGCTTTGTCCAGTGTGGATGAACACTGTGCATGCTTGCCCCTGTGCTGCCTTTCAAAGTCATGTGGATCTGGAGACACATGCCCTGGTTAGTATGGAATGCTTCAGTTGAGCAGAGATAGAAGTGACAGGCAGCACCTAAATCCAAGGTGGAGGAAGTGCTTGCTGCCCAGCTTGGTCATTGCCTTCCGGGCTGTGTCATCCAAGTTCCTAGAACCTTCGTCGTTCACCGCAACAGAAAGGATCCTGCCATCAGGCACCGCATTCAGATACTGGACCAGACGTTCACTCTCTTTCTTGGATCTGTAGGTGTCAAACCTAAAAAGGGTAGAGAGAGGGAGGATGTAGACAGCCTTGGCAGCAAGGACCTAAGAGACAGACACCTAAGTATACAGCTCTTTCAGCAATTAAGACGTTGTCCAAAGACATTGAGAGCCCCAGTCTATTAACAAAGAAGCCGCCTCGAAGAGCAAGCAGGTTTGTCTGTTTGGCTTGCCATAAAGAGATACCCAAGAAGGAGGAATTTGATTCGGCCACACTCATCATTCATTGGGTAAAATGCCTCGGAAATAACTACGGTGGTAGAGCGCTTTGGTCTGGGATGTAGAATAAGCACATGCTTGGGGCTCAGGCTATTCATGCCCCTTTCTTCCTGGGAGCCATGCCTCTTGAAAGGACTGGCATTAGGAGACAATTCAGACACCTAGAGAAGCAGGGATTTCTGTCTCCGATCTAGACCAAAGCAACTCTTCCATAGTCCTTGGGGCCGACAGTGAGGCTACCTCATGCCATGTCTTCTACGCTGGAGCAGCTCATGTGTATTTCACAGCCATTAAACTGTCATCTCTGATTCACGCTGCAGTAGTCTTTCTTCAAGACCTCAGATGGCTTGGTAACTCACGTTTAAGGTAGAAGTCACCTCTTTCCTGCCGCCTCTGCTCCTCCATCCTTCCCTGCGTACCCACCTCTGAGGCCCTCTCCTTCATCTACGAGTGCAGTGCTTTGGGCACCTCTGCCCCTTTGCACTTGTGCTGAACTTTTCTCTGACACAGGCTCACCCTGCAGTCCTAAGCTCACAGGTGTGCCCTCACACGGCCCTTTCCTGATCACCTGCTGGTTCCCTATTATTCTACTATATTCTACTATGCCTTTCCCATTTCTATCTCCAGGTATTGCTACCTGAAACTACAGTGTGTGTGTATGCATGTGTATGTATGTACGTGTGTGTGCTTGTACACATTTATGTTAAATCTACTTTGCCTGAGAAAGAAGGCACCTCTCCAGAGCAGGACTTCCTTCCATCCCATTCCCCAGGGAAGTGCCCTGGCTGGGGGAGATCTTGAACAAGTGAGCACATGAGTAGAAGAAAGCCAACCTTACCGGTCAGAATGGGCAACTGTGCCTGACTTGGCATCAATGACATGAACAATGACTCCACGGTGGCCCCAGCTCCTTTCAAAAAAATATCCTCCCTCCTGCATGCCACCAGGACGAAGGGTCTTGTTTAGAAATGTCCAGGAGAGCTTTTTCTGTCCGTGCAACTCAAGAGTGCCTCCTCTGCCCACTCCAATGTACTTCAGGCCGTAGTACGGGTCTGGCTGGATGCCTTCATCAGCTCTGTAAAAGAAAGGCTCCAAAAGGTTGGCCAACACATCTCTTTTTTTATGCTGAGCTCCTAGGGGATCATCCCTGTTCCCTGATTCCCACTGTGTCCTCAGAGAGACAGCTGCATTTTTAGTGATGACATTAGGCCTGTAGAAAAGCATTAATAAGCTGACCTTCCCAAAGCAGGAAAACATCAGGTGTACAGGGTAGCAGAAGTGCTTAGCAAACACTGTTCATGGCCGCTTTCTTCAGCACGGTTTCTGCCCCAGCTCATATTGGCTGTTGAATCACAGGTACTTCCACTGTGTTCCTGCCTACACTCAAACATTCTTGGCTGTCAAAATTCCTTAGAACTCAATAGCTTAAAGATAGGTCACAGCCTGAAGTGAAAGTCCCATGTGTTGTTGTTGTTATTCTTCTGTTTTCTCCAGATGGAAGCATCGTCTCATGACAGATCTCATGAGGGATGCTCATAAAACTCAGAAAGCTAAGGGAAGTTGGAAGGCTCAGAAGGACTCCTCTTTCAGTTATATACAGGCAAGTAGACAACTTCTGAGGTAGAGGGGACTCTCTAGCAGAGATGCCTGCTTGCTGGGCTGGAAGCTCTGGGGAGGCAGCTTTCCTGAGTCAGAACCCATACTGTGGTTGCTTTTAGGTGATACAGTTACGTTTGAGTCACCTATGCTCTTAAAAGTAACCCCATTAAGCCTATGGGTTCCCTAAGCCAGACTTGGGTAGAGTTATTTCTCGGGTCTGTCCTCCCTGGAGTAAATACATTTGTTCGCCCCTTCCTATGGAACATGGTACATTCGTTTTATAGAGCACTAAGTAACCTCTTTCAGAGTCTCTTCAAATCGTGGAATGACTAGAAAGCTGCTGAAAGTCTGTTAAGGACTCCGTTAATGCAACTACTCCATCCATGCCATGATGAACAAAGTGCCCCTTGGGTATCTGCTTGCCCACTTCCCCATGCCTGTCTTACTCATGGTTATGGGACACGATAGGGGTTCTTGTCCTCTATAGAAGTCTAGACCTCTCCTTTCGGAAACCTCTTTTCCATCAGACCCAACAGCAGCTCTTGACCCCTGAGCAAGGTCATCCCACCTTCCATACAGCACAATGCTGAAATTGCCCTCAAAAGGGCAGAGGGCGCTCCCAGCATGCAGCTCTCCACCGTCATCAATCAGGATGTGCCGGGCCCGCAGCACGATGTGCTCATAGTGGTCTTTAATGACAAGCTTTCCTGAAGAGAGAGGAATTGGGATGTCTGAGAAGACAAGAATCTTGGGTAATGTCAGAGCACAGCCCAAGCAGATTCCTTCACCACATCCATTTAGGCAGGCAAAGGGACATCTTCTTGGGATTTCTACACCCACTGTCTTGCAGAAATTACTTTTCTCCATCATCTACTTTGCAAGATATACCCAATAGTAATCTGGTTCACTGACATTGCCCTATGTTCTGAGTTTAATTACCAGACATGTAGAGGTTAAGAATAACAGGTCCTTTCAGAGCACCAATAGGAGTGATCATTTTAACACCCCCCCCCAAGGTTAGACCTTTGAGAAGCCATTTCTCAGTGCTCTGAGTCAATGGTGATCTCAAGTTTTCAGGTACTCCTACATGAACCCAAAGCATGGAACATTTGTTCTGTCTGTCTCAGTTCCTAGCTGTGTAGATCCGTTTGCAGGTCTCAGGGTGGTGGAAGGGATAGGAAGGCTTACCTCCCTCTGAGATGGTGATGGAGTGGACTGTAGCAGAAGAGGTGAGCAGCAGTTTCCTGCCATGGCCAATGTGTACTCGATGGTCTCTGTCATGGCCAGGGGTCCAAGGCTGCAGCTCAGGGCTCTGGTCAGGACATTCAGTTGCTACTGCAAAAGACAAAGACATGTCACCACACAGAGCTACCAGCATCACTAAGCAGAGAATAACAGGGGCCTGGGCAGTAATCTTCACGACATCCCTTTCTTCTCTACCAGGGTTAAAATTAAGTTCTTAGACAACAGAAAGATGCTCTGATCTGGGAGGCAGGTACCGTGGGCATGGCCCCACACCATTCATGCCTTTATCACCTGACTCTGGACAGCCCCTTTCCTCCTCTGCTCCAGATCCTTTTCCATGATGAAGGATAGATCTGGCGACCGTTCAGGGAATTACAGGGTTTGAAGTGACATTACAGATGACCCCGAGTTTTTGGATTCCACGCGGTGTTTGAAGAGTTAACAAAATTATTTAACCACACACATAGTTTTTGGTTACTTTTCTAACTCTGTTTCCTTGGAGACCTGAGAAAGATGGTAATAAATGAATTGGATAAACAGGTAGCACTATTTACAACACATGTGATGAGTGATTGGTAATGACCTTTTAACAGGGAGGAACTATATAGTACTAGTATTAGTAGTGGGGGTATTTTTGAAACAACAGGGTTTAACCATGTGCCTAGGCAAATCTTGTATTTACCTCCTCCATGCCTGCCATAAATAGTTTTCTGTTTGGTGGCTCCTCTGAGAGTAATAACTCTTATCAAAGGGCATGGACATGCCCTTTGCAGGCATCTACCAAGTGACATGTGTAGCATTACTGTAAGAGATGCTGGCTCTGGTGGAGTCTAAGGCCACTAAGCTAGGGCAGTTTCTACACTGGTCCAGGCTAGTTATTTGTTTTGTTTTCGAGACAGGGTTTCTCTGTGTAGTCCTGGCTGTCCTGGAACTCACTCTGTAGCCCAGACTGGCCTTGAACTCAGAGATCCTCCTGTCTCTGCCTTCCAAGCACTAGGATTGAAGGTTTGCACCACCACCTCCTGGCTAGTCTAGTCTTATTTCTTTTGTTCTGAGATGTCACTCCAGGAGTGGGTTTGTGGGTTGTGTGAACTCCCCAGGTAGGGAGCCACTCGCTGTTGCTCCAAGGTCAGGCTGCACTTCCTGCTCTACTCTCCCCAAGGCCAGCATGCATATAGCCAGGTTGTTTATGTTGTTTATAGCCCAGTTGGGCTGGGAGACTCCTAGATCTCCACAAGGTTTGCTGGAGTCTGCTCCAGATCTATGCCTTAGAAGATGCAAAAAGAGACATCCATGTCCCAGGAGCTGGGAGAACCACCCTGTGGAAAGCAAGTGGAAATCCAGAAAAAGAAGCAGGGAGAATGGGCAAATTGACATGAGGCTACTTTCATTTTCTTAGCAATTAGATTGTGAAGAATAAATCAGACTTACAAGTAATGCAGAGCAGGTGAGGAGATGGAGGTAAGGTTTGGGTGAGCCCACAAAGGGAAAAGGTTCAGTTGGGGGACCAGGGAAGGTGTCAGGAGTAGAAGCAAGCGCCACAGTGCAGGAAAGTTAGAATTGCTGCATTCTGTAGGTGAAGTTGGTACAGGACTCATAGCCACAACTTGGGACCATTACTAGTTCCAATTCAGTAAGTACCAAGGCAAGCATAGCAGTTCTAAGGTGTATTTGATTATGCCTCAGTTATACAATACGGAAGCCGTAATTGCCATAGTTAGATACGTGAAGGAGAGCCTGGGGGGAGACACGCTCTTATCTGCACTCAACAGTACCAGATGGGAACTAGCTAAGCTTCCCCTAAGCCCACATTTTTCTGTATGGTTGCTGAGCTCTATACCCCACATTTTCTCCCAGGTGCACAGCAGCCATCTTTGGTCCCATTAACCTTGTTGTTGTTGTGAATTCAGACTTTAAGTGTCACTGCGACGAGAGCTCCACATTTGTGGATTTTCAGTGAGGCTGTGCTTCCAGATCCTGAGTTTCAAGTAATAACAACATGGGGAGCAGATGCAGACTTCCCTGCTGGTTGGAGAGAAGAGCTGCTACTAGCCTGTGCATAGGCTGGGCAGCTCCCTGCCTTGATATAGAATGCTCAAGCTCGGTGCTCAAAGCTGAATCCCACACCTAGGCTTATCTCCAAACAGGATAGTCAAGGATTCCTAGGAGCCTTCCACCTGGTCCTGGACATGGGAGTCAGTCTTATGGAGTCAGTTACTAGCATGTGGAGAACAAATGTAGCCTCCTGGAGTGCCCAGTGGTTCAGACCAAAAGCCTCCTGGGGAGGATCTGACCCCACTAAGTGGACAGTGCTCCAGGTCTCACTGTCTCACTTCCAAGCCAAGCCCGTAGTCCTTTCCCTGTCTAGGCAAACGAGTCTGCAGCCAACTTTGCGTCTCTACTTGGCTATGGTGGGCCTAACACTGCAGATTTGCCCGGTATCACAAGGATGAGCCCCACTCTTCAAAAGCTCTGAGCCTATGGCTAAGACACAGTGCTTCAGTGAGTGGATATGGTGGGCCCTCCTTTGTGGAACTGGATATTCATACATGTGGATCAGTGAATCAGCTGAAAGCCATCAGTACCATACCTGAAACATCACCATGGCAACCACACTGATTTCCCTGACTAGGGCAGAGGCCCCTCGAAGCAGACAGTTCTGGAATGCAGGCTACAGCTACTTGACATATGAATGACAACGGTGATTTCTACTTCTCCCAAAGAACACAGACTAAAGGGCACCAGAGAGAGGCACAGCCTCCCTTCCAAAGGGTTTATATGCAAATTGGGGTGTGGCAGGAAACACCCCGGATATATCTGAATATTCCTCCTCAAGCTGAATCATCCTAAAAGATAAATTCGAATGCAGTTCATAGCCCAGAGTCAACACTTGTGTTTATTAGTAGAATGAACAGATGAACGAACTCAGGCAATGTCATAAATCATTGCACTGAGCACTGATATATCGCCTACTTGCTATGTCACTCAAGAATTTTGAAGATTTTGTAAGAAATCACAGAGGAGGCGTTCTATGCTACAGAATACTTCTGGCCTCCAGTGGGCTGGTAACAATGCAGTTCAATGTGAGGTTCTTTATTAGGGAAAAAGATAAAACTCAATGAGCAATATTAGTATTTTAAGATGAGCAATGGTATCAACGGTAGTATTATTAAACCCCTGTTCAGTTTCTAAGGTTTGTGTTCTGTGCCTTCTGTGTCCAGCCAAAGGGGCCAATCATTTAATGGCTGTTTCCTGTAGCATAGGTGAAGTATCCTGGGCTTCTAATCTTAATTTAAAATTCACTTAAAGACCACTTGTTTGGTACCACGAGGAAACAAGGTAGAATAACACCACTTAAAGCAAAGATGACAATACTTAGTATTGACAAATCTGAGTACGTGCTGCACTGTGACGCATGCCTATAACTTGGGGGGGGGGAGAGGCTGGAAAGTTGCAAGTTTGAAACTGGTCTGGATCATAGTGAGAGAGACACTGTCTCAAAAAACAAACAAACAAACAAACAGCGGGGCGTGGTGCCTACTTTTGATCCCAGAACTCCAGGGACAGAGGCAGGCAAATCTGTGAGTTTAAGGGTAACCAGGGCTATCCTGTGAGGTCCTGTCTTAATGTGTAAAACACACAAAACGACAAAAAAGAAAGACAATCTAATTCTTGCTCAGAGCATGCAGCTGAGAAGCTTTTGTGGGCCCAGGTTCTGACCTGACAACACAAAGAAGGAAAGGCCCTGAGCCCTGAAGTCGAATAACCCAGACAGAGGTACAAAGCTGAATCCCAGCTGAATCCCTCTCTCCTCCCCTTCTCTCTCCTGGGCAGTTTTAAAATTTTGTATCAGCAGCTAACATTTAAAAACAAGATTGTCTATAAAAATCCAAATTTCTGGTCTCTTTTAAAAATTCAACACATCTTATAACAGTATCTCCCCTTGCCAGCTGTCCAGAATTGAGAGGTGGTCTCAGCTCCACGGAGACGATAGTACCTTCCCAACTAGGTTCGCTTGCAATGGGGCTCAGGCAGACGCTGAGCTTGCAATCTGGGTTGATTCTGGGTCAGCCTGTCATTTCCTAAGAAAACTTGGGGCAGGATGAGGCTTGCATGAAACCGAGGCGTTCAGTGAAGACCCTCCCTGAGAGGCTCCCTGTCATCTCCCTCCCACGGCAGCCTGGCTGACACTGAGGTCCGGGTTTTGTGGCATCTCACCTGCAGATGTGGCCCCCGAGAAGCCGGCCAGGAAGAGCCAGCCCACGGCCAGCACGACCTTTAGGGAGACATCGTGCCTCCCAGCAGCTCTCATGCCAACAGCTTGCTCCCTGCAACAGAAGCACAAGATCAGAAGCATAGCTCCACAGTAAGCACCAACAGGAGGCAGAGACTCACCCACACAGTGGCAGGGGACAGGGACATGGCAGGAGAGGCCCACCCCGCAGGCCCAGAGCGGAGACCTGGGGAGTAGTTCCTCACCTACCATGACTCAGGGCCAGGCAGATCTGGACATGTGAAGTCCGTCACCATTCCACCCCTGTCCTGTAGCTCTTAGCAGAGTAGCCCTCACGCTCCCTCCCTTTGAAACGGAAGCTTTCTACTTAAGCCAAGAAACAGAATAGAAACTAAACATGAGCTGGGAATGCAATGCCACAGGCTTGCTGTGTGATCTCTGGCGATCTGTGGACGTCTCTGGATCCTGTTGCCTAATCGGGCATGCAGCAGATCAGCTGATTTTGAGCTTGATGTTGTCAGTGTTTGCTGCTCTCCTGCCTTCTCTTTGCTCAGTAACAGAACCCCTAATTCTCATATGAGTGCCCGACCACCCAAAATAGCCAGCACAGTCTTCAGTTTTCTTGTGGCCGTGGGATTAAGTTCAACCAAGAAAGCATTCTTCCAGCAAATCCTTCCTTCTTTCTGCCTTTCTGCTGGCCGGGATGCATATATGATGGCTGTACCTCCAGTAATGCTCCTGAGTCATATTGTAGGAACTGAGCACTGAGAATGTAAAGCAAATGAGAAGAAATCTAGGGCAGAAATAACTCTGAAGGGTGGACTTATCCTGGTGTTAAGAAACAACTTAATTTCTATTTTATTAAACCTATATTTTAAAAATATTGATTCTGTGATTTATTCATTTTACTTTTTACTTTTACTTACACAGAAGATGAGTCTAGAAATCTAGATAACAATGGGATGGGAATTTTAATAACACAAATATGAGGTTTTGTTTTTTGTTCTGTTTTTGTTTTGTTTTGTTCTGTTTTTGTTTTGTTTTGTTCTGTTTTTGTTTTGTTTTGTCTTTGTGCTCAGAGACTCCACCTGGGCTCTGGGAGGGGTTAGCTCTAGTTTCTGAGCCATCCCCGTAGGTCCTTTCCAATAGACCTGTGTTTGTGCCTAGAACAAGCAGACATTATCCTGAGAAAGTGGCTCACGGAGGCTCCACCTCTCAAGCCTGTTCAGTGGCTAATCTGATGCCCCTGACCCTGGGCTCAGTGAAGCTCTTTGTGCCAGCTCAGCCAACCGAGGCAGGAAGAGGGGACCTTCTGCACAGGTGGGTTGGGAGGAGGGCCAGGGAGGAAGGAACAGCTCAGAATCAAAGCCTGTGTGTCCTCTTCTACCGCCCTGTCCGACCCAGGCTGGCTTTCCCAAAACAACAGAGACACTTGTCTCTGGTATCTGCGAGGCCAGCTTTCCCATGGCTCCCAGAAAGGAGTGCTCCATAAGATGAAGAAGGATGGCAGTGTATGGTGTATCCAGGCCTCAGGGGAAAGACACAGCCCACTTCTCAGATCTCAGCTGGCTTAAAAAAAAAACAAAGGCAGCTTGCCATCGACTGCCAATGAGCCTCATAACCTCAATGGGCCACATTCTCCAGGGAAGTCAGACCTGGACAACTAGTACCCTCACTTGTGATGGAATCTAGTGGGGCAGTATGAGGTGGGGAGACATTCCCTGGTATGAACTTGTGAGGACCTCACACTTCTCATGTACAGAGCCATTTGTCAGGGGTCATGTATCAGACATTGTTTGGCTTTGTGGATGGATATAAGAACACTTCCACAGAAGGAAGCGTTGTCCAGTGCCTTCCCTGACATTAGGCCTTCAGCTATGTTTCTGCCAGTGTCTGAGCCACAGGATGTAGATAGGTCCTTGTGCCCAGAGCTGCCCCATTGCAGAGCACACAGCCTTCATGTTTTCGTGCACAGAGTGGCTCCCAGGGAATGGAGACAGTCCTGCTGCAGTGAATCCTACAGTAGCCAAGGTTCTTTTGGGAATTGTCCACCCAGAAGAATAGCATTTTCAGCTGGCCACTGAAGCTTCTGGCAGGAGGGTTGAAATTCAGCTTTATTTTTTTTTGTTGTTGGCGAGACAGACTAGAGGCAGGTTTTGGCTGTGGAAGGCCTCAGAGGAGCTCACAGGGAATGACGCTGAGACTTCTGGTGGTAGCCAGCAGCTGCAGGCCGGGCCACAGGGTTGCTGGGACATTGGTCATGATGGTCTCAGCTGGCCTGTCCCCTGAAGGGTATGAGAACCCTGTCAGCATGTGAGGAGAATGGCGTGGCTTCCTCAGCAGACCTCTACTTCAGGCCATTGTGCATCTTCACAGTAACAAACTAAGTTTCTAGATGTTCAGAGTTTCCAAGTCCAGCTGCTGTACCATCCTTGGAGATGCAGAGATCAACAGAGGAGCACGAGTATCAGTGGATGCCAAGTACAGGGGCTTTGCCCATTCTTCCACGGCTGTCCTGGAGTACCAGGTTGTCACCTGTAGAGGAGGCAGGGTGTTAAAAGAGGATCCAATGGCACCCCAGAATGACAGTGCTCATGGATACTCTTGTGCGTGCCCTATGGCTTCCCAGATCCTAGGGTTGAGAATTCCTGATACCTCAGGCTGCAGAAGACAGGAATTTCTATAGAGATTCCATGAGGAAATAAGGACAGGCTGGGAGATGGGTCCCCTGAAGCTAAGGCACCCAGAGTAAGCCAAAGCACATTCCTATGGAGGACATAGCCGAGGATGTATCACCTTTGTTGTTACTCAGCCAAACCCTAGGCAAGACTGAGTTAACAGATGAACAATAACAAGGTGGTCAGGAATGAGGGTGCCAGAGCCTTCCTTGGGTCCCAGTCACAGGGCTCTTTTCATTCTTTGGGATCAGAGAAACAAAATGATATAGCAGCAAACCGCAGGGCCATTATGGGCATCAGAATAGACACACCCCTTGAAGACCTCACAGCACTGTTTTCGACCTGAGGTCAGCGTGGAAGCATTGGGAGCCACTCAGAGCGGGGACACTCAGCGCCCAGTATGAAGAACCTGGAAGACTGAGTCTAGAATTCTGGGCTTGAGTTCCAGTGGTAGCCCCCATTAGCTGTGTGGTCCCAAGCAGGTCACTCAGCTTGCCAGTGCCTTGGTTTGCTTATAAAAATGGGGGCAGCAATGCTTCTCACAGTCTGGACTTAAGTTGTGAGAGCTGATTGGGACATAGAGCTTAGGACACGCCAGTTCATGAGGCCAGTGAAATGGCTAAGCAGGTAAAAGTCCTTGCCACACAAGACTGCAGAAATAAGCAAGGTGTGGGGGGGAATAACAGCCTGGAAGCTCTCAGGCCAGCTGGCATGGGACACTGAGCGACATCACACACACACCTTCTTGAGACTGTCTCAAGAAGGTGGAAGGAGAGAACTGACTCCTGAAAGTTCTCTGACCTTCACTAAGAATGAATAAAACTTCAAAACAAACAAACAAACAAAACCCCACCAGTTCCCAGGTCCCAGGTAAGGCAGGTGGTCAGGAATATTATTCCCAAGAGGGCAGAGGGAGGAGGACTGTCATGCCAAGTAGAAGGCGGCTATGATCAAGCCATGAAGAGGGGCCTCAAGAAGGCCTTGATTTGCTACCCTGAAAGTCTGGATCCAGTCTCCAGAATTTCAAGAAATGTGAATTCTTGCAGGAACTTTGCCATGGTAACTCCAGGTGTTAATGGCTAAGCCACCAGCTTGACAGTACATTTTGTGGAACCTTTAAAAGGTGGAGTTGGGCCCTTAGAGGTGAGGCCTGGAGGGGGTATGGAACACTGGTCTCCCCCTTCTCTCTTGTTCCTGCCAGCCATAAGCCAAGCAGCTTTTTATCCTCCACATATTCCTGACAAGATGTGCTGTTTCACCACAGGGCCCAAGTGATCATGGACCCTAACCTCCTAAACTGAGCCACTATAGACCTGCTTGCTTTATCACTTGATTTACCACAGGAGCTTGTTACAGTAACAGAAAGCTGACAGGTACACTGATATGCAAATACACATCCTTAAGAAATGGTCACAATCTTTCTGCAGCTCAGTTTTCTCACCTACAATGATCCGAATAGACATGAACGAAGCTCCTGTTAGGCACGGCCACTGCCTGATTCCCTTTGCATAGTCACCACTGTGATCTCTCACAACCACGCTCTGTGCAGTGTCTAGTTATAGATGAGGAAACGGAGGCACAAAGCATAGTGCTGCTTAAGATCACACAGGTAAGAGGTGGTAAAGTTTAAAGTCAGCTCTCTCCTCCAGGACTATGTTTCCAGTTCCAGGATGTACTCTAAGCCTAAGATCTCAGAACGTGAGAGCTGGTGGGAACATAAGACATTGTCCAGTAAGTACGCTTCACACCTCAGTATGTCCATGGGTTCCCAGAAGCACTCATTAAAAGGCTCATTCTCACCCATAGGGCTGAGACAAAGCTGGAAGGCAGCTCCATTAGGATTTGAACCCCTGGATCTGACTCTAGCATACCGCTCTGTAAAATTGGCATACTGATTTTATCTGTCCACCATATCCCACTGTTGATAGTACAAAACTGTGACCCTGAAGTAAAGCTGGAGCAAGGTGGGAGGTGGGTGGGTGTCTCCAGTAACACTCTTGAGGTCAGAGAGGTTCTGGTATCGACCTTCTTTCCTAAGTTCAAGCTTTTCTCTCTGTGAACCCCACACCCGCACCATGGCCCCAGGACCCAGATCACCTGTATAGCATTGGATAAGACCTTTTCTGGACAGCCAGAGGATGTCCCCGTGGCCACCAAGAATCATGGCAAAATTGAAATGCAGAGGCCAAGAGATCTCATTCATTGGGCAGAAAGCCCTTCAGACAGATGACAAAGCAGACACCTTCTCCAACATGTCCCAAGGAAACCACCCCCATTCTTGAGCCAGGCAACAGCTGACCTCTTGGTTACACCTGATCTATATGCAGGCCCAGCTTTTTCCTGATAGAAACATGTGTTTCTCTGGCTACCTGGTCTGGAAGCAGCTCCCTACAGGAGAAGGATGCAGGGGAATAGACAGATTGAGTCCTGCTCTGAATCATGGGCAAATAGGAAGTTGAGACTGTAGGAAGCCCCCTTAGTCCTAAACTCCCCTTCGCCCTTTTCAGGATGTTCCATTAGTATAGTCTACTATACCATAGGAGACATCTGTTCAAGGGACCCCAGGGCTTCTGAGTCCAGCCTGCCACTCAGAGAAGTACACTTAGAGGACCCTTTGCCTCTGACGCTGGGCGTCCCTCAGGCTACTCCATGAAACTGGCCTCTTGGGCACATCCTCCATTATGACGTACCTGCTGCAAAGTCCAGAGCCGCTGTGGCTCTCCCAAGCCAAGCCAAGCCCTTCCCCAGATCTTCATAAGACAAAACACTCTGCACCTTCTTCTCCAGTCCACAGAACCCTGAGGGAGCACTACGCTTCTCCCAGCCGCGCTGTGGGTACCTGTTGCCAGGGCAACGCCCCTTTAAGCAGATTCTCACTTGGCAGATCTAAAGATACTGATTTTTGCATTTCTTTTTTCCCTCTTTCTTTTTTGTTTTGTGTTTCATGGGTGATTGTTTAAAACCAGGGTCTCATGTATTCCAGGCTGGCCTCAAACTCACTGCTCATCAGAGGACGACACTGAGCTTCGGGTCCATCTGCCTCTGCCTCCCAAATGCTGGAATGTGTGCTAACACACTCAGCTCGTTTTTTAAAGGTTTGTTTGTTTGCTTGCTTGCTTGCTTGTTTTAGGAGGGTGAGGAAACAGGGTTTAATAAAGCTCAAGCTGGTCTCAAAGCCATTCTTCTGCCGTAGGCTCCCCTGTGTCACTATCTTTGGTTCTGATTGAGACTTCCTAACAAGCTTTCAGGTGAGGCCAATAAGGCTGGGTGGTAGATTGTGGTCTGAGGAGCAAGGATCTAGTTTAATCACATGCTCTCCGTTCTACAGAGCAACAAACTGAGACCCACAGAGTAGGAGGAGGCTGCTTACATTGAGCAGAACTGGGTAAAGGAAAGCCTGATCCAGTATCTAACAGAGAATGTTTGGACTACATTATGAGGTTCACACCTTCCTTGTCATCCTGCTTGCTTGGGAGGAAGGGGAAGCAGGAGAACTGGGTGCATACCGTCTCCTCTGTTTCCCCCCCAGTCACAGTTTGGCTTGTAAACACAGGTCCTGGGTGCCCTGCAGAGGTTCAGACAGTCATACATCACCTTCACTGTCTCCTCCAGAGGAACTTCCTTTGATCTGGGAAATTCCCACTCCAGCCACCTGTAGAGGCGAGGCCTAGGTGCTGCGGTTCATGTACCAATGGTTGGAATCTCCACCATGGACTCACCCCACACCTGATCACAGGATCAAGAACCCTGTGTAGTCCTCTGCCCCGTCAGCTCCTCATATTCCAATCATCCCATCATTAGCCATGAGTCTGAGGCTTCCCAGCCTGTGCTGGCACAGTTGGGCAAGGTCGACCCTGCTCCTCTCCACATTCTGTGCTCCTGACCTTGGTGCCCCAAGAGCACTGTGCTGGTGTGGGAAGAAGTAAACCAGACCTCTGTCTCTGGGAATCCCTCCAGGACTCATCGCTAAGCAGAAGGTGAGGGGCGCAACCTTCCAGCAAACCAGATACTTGGTAGAAAGAGTATGCTTACTGCAACTTAGTTTCTCATTAGGCTAACTATATATTTTTTTTCTAGACCGGGTTTCCCTGTGTAGCCTTGGATGTTCTGGCCTCTCTTCGTAGACCAGGATGGCCCCAAAGTCACAGAGATCCACCTGATGAGGCTAAATCTTTACCCTCACTTTCCTACTTTTGTTTAGAGCTTTGTTGTCCAGTTCAGTATCTATTTATCACCTATGGCTAGGTCACCACACTTAAAGTGAGGGGGGAAAACCCTCAGGTTCTCTCTTTCTCTCTCTCTCTGTGTAAGTACATTCACACATGTTAAGGCTACAGCACAACCTCGGA